TTTATTTGACTGCCAGAGAGAGAGTGACCACAAGTGGAGAATAGTAGGCAGAGGGAGAGGGAGAAGCAGGCTCCCCTCCATCCCAGGACCCTGGGATCATGACCTGAGCTGAAGGCAGACACTTAATGACTGAGCCACCCAGGCACCCTGGGGTTCTCTTTTTGCCCTGCCCTCACGTCAGGATCCCTCATCCCTCCCCACCCGTCTCAGCCCCTCCCATGCATTCTCCTTGGATGAGCTCAGGCATTCTTGGCTCCGACCATCTCTGTGTGCTACACAGTCCTGAACTCTTAAGATCAGCTGGATTTTCCGCCTTTATTTTCAGCTGCCTACAGCACATCTCCGCTAGAATGTGAGTTCTTGAGTATGGGTGTCTTACGTTCACAATTTCTCATCATCTCCAGTCCGCCTCCCACCTCACTCCCCTCTGTTTGGAATCCGTTCCTTGTTTCTTCGCTTCAGCTAATGGTACTACCCACACCCTTGCATAAGCTAGAAACCCCGAATTAGCCTCTGTTCTTCCCTTCTCCATCCATCCCTTCCATTTGGGCACTGCAGCCTCTGCTTCTCGCCGTCTGTGTCTCTTGCCTCGCTCTCCCCCTTCTCCCCACCGCTGCTGCCTCAGTGCAGCGCATAGCCCTCCCCACAGCTCTGCCGCCATGACCTCCTGCCTTGTCTCCCTCCTCTCCAGTGGGTTCCCTTCTCCACAGCTTGTAGGAATCTCTCAAGGAGGTTTTCACCACGCTCTGCACTGGTGACTTCCCATCGCCTGTAATGTGGGAAGCCAAGGGCTTCGTAATTTAGTTCCTGCTTCCGCCTGAAATGAGCTCCTAGGGCGGCTGTAACAAATCACCACCACCCCCTTTATGGCTTGGCACAACAAATTCATTCGCTATTTTTGGAGGCCAGGAGTTGGAAATGAAGGTGTCAGCATGGCGGGTTCCTTCTTGGGGGCTCAGGGAGAGAACTGTGTGCCTCTTTTCTCGTTTCTGGTGGTGACCGGCAAGCTGGCGTATTTCCCAACAAGGTCACGTTCTGAGGTTCTGGGTGTATGTTTTGGCGGTGAAGGGGGCACCCTTCAACCCAGTGCGTCTTTCCAGCCTCCGCTCTTACTGTGTCCTCATCCTGGGCTTGCTTGTTTGCTTTGGTGCCCTGGATGGGTAGGAATTCACTGGGCGGAAAAGGAGAGAGAATTCGGTGTAGCGGAAAGAGTGTGTCCAAAAGGCCACAAAAAAGGGGAGATTTGAGTGGAGTCTTAATATATGAACGGCATTCTTGTATATTCACGTTGCCTTACTGTCCTTGAAGACCTAGTTCAGGTGTCATCTCTTTGTAAAGCCTTCCTTGACCTTCCCAAGGACACTTCTCGTTGCTCAGTACTTAAGGACCAACATATTTAGTGCCTGTCGCTTTAATGTTTTGATCATTTAATTATTAGCTGGTATTCCTACCTGGCCCAGCTGCCAGCCCAGATGGGTTTTTTGTTTAAGATTTTATTTTTTTTTAAGATTTTATTTATTTATTTGACAAACAGAGATCACAGGTAGGCAGAGAGGCAGGCAGAGAGAGAAGAAGGGAAGCAGACTCCCCACTGAGCAGAGAGCCCAATGCGGGGCTCGATCCCAGGACCCTGGGATCATGACCTGAGCCGAAAGCAGAGGCTTTAACCTACTGAGCCACCCAGGTGCCCTAAGATTTTATTTTTTTAAGTAATCTCCATTCCCACGTGGGGCTCAGACTCCTAACCCCGGGATCAAGCGTGGCACACTCCACTGTCTGAGCCAGCCAGGTTCCCCCCAGCCCGGATGATTTGAAATGGATTTACCCCTGTGCATTTAGTGCCATCGGCCGTGACCACGTACATTTCAGGGGAGGAGCTGTTCGGGCCTAAGTGGACGCGTCTTCACCTTCCACGAGGTAGAGGGGATTGGAATGTGGAAGGAGGTTGTACTAGAGCCCCTCCAGGCTTCCTTCCATCTGGAAGTTCTGCTGTCCAAACTGTAACCCCTTCCAGAAACAACACTTTGAAGAAACTTTGAAGGCAAACAGACTGGAAATTGTGCTGCCGTTTGGCTCTACTGGGCTTTGAGAAGCTTCGCCGTCACGGAAGAGCTCAGTGCTCACATGACAGCCGTGACTTTGAGAGATGCCGAGTTGTCTCAGACCTCATTTGGAGCAGATGGAGCTCACGAGCAAAGCCATTCCCATCCAGCAGGTGCACTCCTAAAATTTGGCAATTTTCCTATGTTCTGTATGTGGATAAAAGGATTTTAATGTTTTTTTGGATTCCTCTTTCAATTGAATTGATTTTAATTCCACCTTGTTGCTGAGTCACTGAAAGTCACATTTTTGTTTTGGATGAAAAACAAGAGGATTAACTGTGCAGACAACTGAGAAATGGGGCGTTATTCAGCTGCATTCCTTGCAGAGGTGATCAAGGTAACAGGGTATCCGAGGAGAAAGCAAACACCCAATGTGTAATAGCTTTGAACACTCGTTTTTCCAATTACCGTGAGCTATGCTGATCTAGTCATCGGTACTAATTATTGCTCTGCACGGGCCTATTGGAAAAAGTGCCACAGACTGTGAACACTTTTTCATCCAGAAGAACAGCTTGAGGTAAAAATTCTGCAATTCAAATAACTTTGAGACAAAAGAGACTTGTAAAAGTATCCCACAGCCCCAAATTAGAAATAGCCTCCTCCCTGCAGCTCCCCAAGAAAACGCCTGGCTCTCTGTTCTGGGAACGGCACCGACGTAGTTGCGCACAGTGCAAATGGGCGTCCTTTAGAATATGAGCTTCTCACCACAGCCAGCTCTGAGTGACATGGCCAGAGTTCACCAGATCGCAGCCTGTTGTGCGTGTCACAGTGCAGTGGGTCCCTGCAAACTGCATTCATGGTTTGGAGAAAGCCCATCCCAGGCCAGAACCCCAAATGGAGGTGGAAGCATTGGTGAGGCGACCTCGGTGCTATGTAGCCTCCAGGAATGTGTCAGGGAGGCTGTGACCCTGGAGAGGAAAACGTGACAACTTGAATTTTTTTTTTTAAATGCATCTCTAACTAAAATTTAACATCGAGAAATACGTATCGTGCAGGCAATAATCTCTGATGTCAGTGGTATCTGTGATTCTGGTACAGAGACCTTTACCTCTTCAAGTTGGTGTCAGACCATATGTCAAACACACATAAATTTGTTTTTTGATGTTGTGGTAACTCAATTATCCACTTCTTTGGTGAACTTTTAGGTTTTACTTTATACATTTAAAGATACTATTCTTGGGCCGCGTGGCAGGCTGTCGGATCTTGATCTTGGGGTTGTGAGTTCAAGTCCTATATTGGCTGTAGAGATTACTTAAAATCTTTAGAAAAAATACTATTCTGCATGAAAAACAAGGAAAGACCCGAGAAACTATCACAGAACCAAGGAGATGAGGGAGACATGACAACTAAATCAACAGACAGATCTTTGAGCAGAAAGAAGACAATGATGGGACTGCTGGAGAAATCCAAGTGCAAGTCTGAAATTGAGTTAATGATGGCTTCTTCATCTTGACAAGTGGACCACGGAAATGTAAAGTGTTGACAGTGGGAACACCAGATGCATGTCATTCGAGAACACCCTGTATGGTCTTTGCAACTTTTCTGTACATCTGACTTGATGGCAAGAGGCCTAGTGCTGAGTCTGCTGACTGCTCCCAGACATATGGGTTGGGAGATCTGTGTCCTCTCGAGGCCATCACTGCTACACCTCTGAGGAGACGGGAGAGACCAGTCCAAAAGACGGGGAGAAGTTTTCCAGAGAAGTGAAACAATCTATGGCATATTGTGGAAAAGGCACAGCTCTGGGTTCAGAAAGGTCCGGCTTCCTGTTCTGTCCCTAGCTCCGGCTTTGCACTCTGTGGCCAGGAACCATTCTGGGCTTCTTCTTCCCCTTGGTGAAGGGAAGCCATCAGTAAAGGCCTTGGCAGGGTCGTTGTGAGGACCAAGGGTATGATGTGTCCCCGAGGTAGCCCTTCTGTTGGTTTTAGGTGGTGTGTTGTGCATTTTACACCCTGGGCAGCACGCTAAACAGTTAACACAAATTAACTTAATCTTCATGATACATCTCTTACATGACCGTTTCACAGATTGGGAGCCTGAGAGTCAGAGGCTCAGTGACCTCAGCACCCAAGGATACAAAGACGGACTTGAATTCAGATCCGTGCTAACTGTAGTTCGTGGTCTTCCTTTGCCTGCTCTTAGGCTTTCCCGATAGCCCTGGTTCCTGGGCGCTCTTTGCTTTCCTGGACTCCAGACTCCCCCCATGTTTCTTTCTCACGTACATCCATGTCCAGATGCTCTCTGCGGGGCTGTGGCCCATGGCGATTGGCTGGTCTGGACCTGAGATGGCTCAGGTGCACACTGAGGGTGTTGGGCAGTCCCCATCTCTGTCCCGGCACAGACGGTCCATCCTGCATTCTGGGAATTTTAACTGCTTATGCCCCTGTTTGATGGTGTGATTACTGGATCACTGAGGCCATGATTTTTCTCATCCATTTTGGGCGAAGTTGGCATTTCCACATCATTTTCCCAGATTGGGGAGGGGGGAGAGCTTTAAGATTAGTGACTTCCTAAAACCTGGCAGTGAAAATTAAACAGCACCCCAAAACCAACAGAGGCCGCTGTGACATTTACCTGTTCCTTACCTGGGGTTTTATTAAGGGATTACTCTAAAGGACATGGAAGTCATTTTGGGTTTTTGTTTCCTTCTGTGATTAGTGTAGTTGCCAGTTATTTCAAACTCTGTTGAAGGGGGATTAAAAAAAAAAAAAGTGATGTTACTTACCTGGGCAGGTGAGTTTAGACTTAGTTACAAGGGAATGAGCCTGATTTCCATCCGTGCTTGATGTGGGCATGCACATTGGTCTCCAAAGGAGAAAACGGCGTGCAGCACTTGTACCCTTAGGTTCCAGAAGTGAGGGCTCTGCGGGTCCCCTGACGGGCTCTCTTGTTTTTCAGTTTTTCCCCTACATCCTGCTGCTGGTGGCTATCCTCCTGTACCTGCCCTCCCTGTTCTGGCGTTTTGTAGCTGCTCCTCATCTTTGCTCAGATTTGAAGTTCATCATGGAAGAACTTGACAAAGTTTACAACCGCGCAATTCAAGCCGCAAAGAGCGTGTGTGATCAGGACGTGAGGGATGGTACCAGCCCAGTTCCAGGCCCTCAGGAGAACATGGGGCAAAGGTAACTCAGCCCCCAGCAAGTATCTTGGCGGGCTTTGGGGTATGAGGTCTCAGTCCTCCTGCCCATCTGGGCTTAGGGTTCCCACAGTAGTAGATGGGGTGGGGGGGGGGGTTGTCATCCACTGGCAGACACACTGTGGGAGCCAGGAAGGCTTGCTGGCCCCCAGTCTCATCCCACCTCCCCGCGCCAGCACCTGTCCTCACATCCAGACGCCTTCCCTTGTTGAGGGGAATGCTGCCATCTTGTGTTCTGAAAGGCTTGGGTAACAGGATGGCACCAGCTACTCACGGGCGCCAGTGGAGAAGCGAGGAGGATTATGGGGCGGCTGAGCTTAGAGAACCAGAGAGAGAGAAGTGGGGGAAGGAGCAGGCAGTGTCTGGTGTTTTCACATTTTTCTCTGGTTGCTGTTGTCAACAGGGTAATTGTGTTAATAGCTCTCATTTTTAAAATACTTTATCTATCCCAGAGACTGTGATTTCTCTGGGTACATTATCTCAACCCTCAGAACGACATTACAACGAACTGCATTGATTTTCTGCCTCCCTCTTCCACAAATAAAAAACACTGGCTTCCAGATCTCCGCGAGAGAGCTGGGACCCCACCCAGGCCGGCGGGCCCGAATCTGAGCCCCACACCCACGGAGCTGTCCCTGGGACAGCCTCGCCTGGGCGGGAAGGTCTACTTCATTGTGCACACCTGAGAAGATCTAAATCAGATTTAGAAACACTAGAATAAGAACGGTCCATGTGGAGTGTTTACCAGATGCCCGGCATTTTAAGAATTTACAAATGGGGGGCGCCTGGGTGGCTCAGTGGGTTAAAGCCTCTGCCTTCGGCTCAGGTCATGATCCCAGGGTCCTGGGATCGAGCCCCGCATTGGGCTCTCTGCTCGGCGGGGAGCCTGCTTCCCTTCCTCTCTCTGCCTGCCTCTCTGCCTACCTGTGATCTGTCTGTCAAATAAATAAATAAAATCTTTAAAAAAAAAAAAAAGAATTTACAAATGGAACCTGTTTAACCAGACCTTCTTTAAAACACTAAGGGGGAGAGTGTTCTGTGGTAGCTTGTCTTCTTACTTGGACCCGATTATATTCCCTGATCCGCCAGCGAAGTTATAGGTGAAGCAGGGAGGGAGGAAAGGGGTTTGAGGTTTTTAGCGTGATACTGTCCTGCGCATTTACATCTTCGATATCTGCTCTTCGCGAAGGTTTAAATTTTTTTTTTATTCCTTCGTTGTTACTGTTTTCAGCCTGTGGGAGATCTCTGAGCGCCACTTCAAGTACCCGATTGTGGAGCAGTACCTGAAGACAAAGAGGAACTGTAGGAACTTGACCATCAAGTACATCAGCTGCCGGTTGCTGACACTCACCATTGTCCTGTCTGCGAGCGTCTACCTGGGCTATTACATCAGCTTCTCGTCGCTGTCCGACGAGTTTGTCTGCAGCATCAAGTCTGGGATCCTGAGGAACGACAGCACCATCCCCGATCGCTTTCAGTGCAAGCTCATCGCCGTCGGCGTCTTCCAGCTGCTCAGCCTCATCAACCTCGTGGTTTACGTGCTACTGGCCCCCGTGGTCATCTACACGCTCTTCGTTCCATTCCGGCAGAAGACAGATGTTCTCAGGGTGTATGAGATTCTGCCCACCTTCGATGTCCTACATTTCAAGTCGGAGGCGTACAACGACCTGAGTCTTTACAACCTCTTCTTGGAGGAGAATGTAAGCGAGCTCAAGTCCTACAGGTGTCTGAAGGTGCTGGAGAATATTAAAACCAGTGGCCAGGGCATCGACCCGATGGTCCTCCTGACCAACCTTGGCACAATCAAGATGGATGTCATGGATGGCAAGAAACCGGAGCCCATGGAGATGACGACAGAGGAGCCGGGAGACCCGATGATGGAGCTCAAAGGTAGGGGGAGCTCTTGGGGTGCCTCAGTACTAGGAGACAGAGGGGAAGAATCGGTGCCACCCCAGATCTCCAGAGGAAAGTGTGCTTTCTCCAGACTGTCCTTGCTTCTTGGTCATGCTCTCACAGTCTCTGCCCCAGGCATCCGTCCGTGCTGTCCTTCTCGCGTACGCTTGTCCTGTGCTGCTGGCTTTGTCCCCGTACTTCTGGGCCTCGGCCTGTTGTCCTCCACCTCTCTCAAAAGATACAGAGATTGGGGGCACCTGGGTGGCTCAGTGGGTTAAGCCTCTGCCTTCTGCTCGGGTCATGATCTCAGGATCCTGGGATCGAGCCCCGCATTGGGCTCTCTGCTCGGCGGTGGGCCTGCTTCCCCCTCTCTCTGCCTGCCTCTCTGCCTACTTGTGGTCTCTCTCTCTCTCTCTGTCAAATAAATAAATAAAATCTTAAAAAAAAAAAAAAAAGATACAGAGTTTGTTGATTGAACTGGAGCCCTGACCTAACTTCACTGTTCCCTGAAATGTGGCTTAGAAGCAAAACCTTGTAAGGCAAAGAACACGGGATTGATAGAAGAGAAGGTAATTCATGCTGTCGGTTCTTGCTTTTTGTCATAAATGTTTTCTGTTTTTACAGATTTGAGCGCACCCAGTGATATTAAAGTAAATAACGGAGAGACGAATGCTCGACAGAGACTTCTCGATTCTTCTTGCTGATTTTTTTTCCCCTTGACCTTGAGGTCCATGGCCCTCTGTGACATGGGATTTGTATCGGCTGTCAGGTTCCCCACTGGTCCTCCTGAGTGTGCCTTACTGAGTCCCTAAGGAAAATGACGGCCCCCAGAACGCTGTAGGAGCATGGTTCATGAACTTCCAATGAGCAGCACCATGGGGGTGAGCCAGCCCCAGCAAGTGTATGTGTGAGTCCTTCACCTGGAAGGTGGGAAGGCTCATCAGAGCAAGACTCGGAGCCCTGTTTTTGCCTCAAAGAAGCCCCTTTCTGGAAAGATGTGCAGTAAGACTAGGTACCAGCAAGGACTTCGGGAGGCCTTTTGGATTTGTTATATGAAATAATGATAACACCTGTCAGGATACAGCTTTACTGGGAACCTCCTATGTGCCCCTAACGACCGCTGCACAAGAGAAACACTCACCAGCCAGCCGCAGACTTGCTGTTGGTGGAGTCCTCCTCTGGGAACAGTGCTGGCGTGGGTTCCTGTCCCCCAGGGCTCTGTGCACACCACTGCTCGTCGGCCACGGCAAACCGAAATCATGGCACTCCACCCTGGAAACGTGGTGAGCCAGGCAGAGTCCCGATGACATTGAACTGTGACTTCTGTATGGGAGAGGATGCTTGTTACAGAGCCTGGTGGGGAGATCTGGGCAGACAGAACAGGTTATTTCAAACCATTTTCCAAGGGGTTCTGTGCAGGTCCTCCCTCTGTTATCAAAAGACTCGAAACAGGATGGTAAACAAATGAACAGAACACAGAATGCTTAAAAAATAAATAAATAAATAAAGGGACATTTCACTTATTACGGTCAGAACGTATAAATGATATCGGCCATATGGTGTGCTTGGAACCAGACCAGCTTTGCGGTTTACTTTATCTGTATTTTAAGCACATCTTTTAAAAATCCATTTTAATGTAGAATCCTGTGATGTCAGAACGGAGGCCATTTGGGAAGGATGTTCTAGCATTGATGGAGAAAGAATAAATGTTACAGACAGCTATATCCCAAGCATCATTTCATACACATTTAAGGCCGATTCAGAGTGTATAAAAACCTGTCCCAGTTCTAACCATGTAAATAGGTCCAAACTATGTTTACATTTTATACAAAACCCTTTAAAATTCCGTTTGTGGATCTACCTGTTTTTATTCTTAGGAAATTAACACATTACTAAAGTGAGTAATCCTCAGGAACCTCAAAGTTTACATTTGGCTCCTAGGAAGTGTTGTTTACTTAATCTAATTAGTGTTTGAAAAACAAAAGTTATATAAGCTACTCAGAATATTCTGAGAATATTGTACTCTCTTTTCAGAATATTCACAGAAGTGGATTTTAGTTGCACTTCTGTGATGGGATCTGAGATAGAAAGCCGACGGCAAGTCTCAAGGATGCATTCATGCTTTAAATTATTATGTGCTATTTATTACCTTTGAGTTCGTGTGACTTAGAAATTGCAGGAACTTAAATACTCCTCTTTCCTTCATTTTTCTATCACCGTGTCCAAGTGCTCATCACAGCTCCCCACACTGGCTTCTTTTTATAATTTGAAAAGATTTCTGAGCTATTTTTCAAGGATGTACTTCTTTTCCCCGCAAAAGCTTCATCTCCTCTACAGACAGCCCCTAATTTGTATTTTGAGGTGGTAAAATAGATCCATTTTTTCAGGAAACCAGCAATTCTCTAAGTCCTGTGCCATGTAACCCTTTTGTCACGGTTGGTGGGGCTGGAGTCCTTGCCTTCTCTTCCTTGTCACTGTTGCGACACGCTGAGCCCCAGGAGGTCCTGATGTCCCAGGCTCGTCATGCTCGTCCCTGACTGTTGGACAGGACGAATAAGGCCGCTCCCCATCTTTGAGGAGTTTAGAAGCCTAGTCAAAGGCAGCAAAGGCAGAGGCAGGTACAAAGGAGTAGCCACAGGAAAGGCCCTTCCAGAAAGCTCCCAGCAGCTGTTCTGTGTTCTCGGGAGACGCCATCTTGTTTTCCTGTCTCCTGGAGCTGGTGGTCTTGAGAGTCCAGTTCTGGTTTTTCCCAGAGGCTCTTCAGCCACTGGTCCTGTGGTGTGAAGCTGGGACAGAACACTAACAGAGTGGTTTTGCACAGGAAGAGCTCCACTGGCCTTCTGCAGGGAAGAGGGGAGGCAAGCCTGCGGCGGCCATGAAGTTACCCGTGAATGACCACTGTAGAGCTAAGAGGCCAAGGTGGATGCCCGGCCCTACAGTCCGGCGTGGGGAAAAGCGTTACCAGGAAAGTGAACTCTTCCATCCCCTGGGAGTTGCTGGCTTAAAGGACGACTTCTGAGGGTTCCCTTTCCGGAGGGTAAAGAGTCATTCCTTGCTTTCTACAAAGGGACTGACGGATCCTAACTGGGTACCCCAGCGCTACTGACTTTGTTTCCAGCTCGCATCTTCTTAGAAAGGCACCAGCTGGGACTGGAACTGATCGTCCTGGGAGCAGCATCCAGCCACCTGTTTGCTTTTCCCCCAGGACAGGCAGAGACTTCCAGTGTAGACCTTCTGCAAACTTCCAGGAAGTGACAAACCCCAAAAGGCACAGACCCTCTCTTGTGACGCGCACACAACACTAAATGCACCTCCAGGGACCGTCCTCAGGCGCGCACACGGCGAGGGGCAGACCAGTCCGCCCAGCGCACAACGGAGGCCCCTTTGGCCTCCCAGAGAGCTGCTTCCAGCAACGTCTGCTCTGTGTCCATGTAGCGAAATTGTGTTTGCACACTTCTGAGTGGGCTGTACCTTCTGAGGAGTGGGTCTCATTGTTCAGAGTCCGGGTGAACATCCAGTTAAGCGGGCGGGTGGATGACAGTGGCCGGGGGTGAGCAGGCCGCTGCCCCTGACCCTGTTCAGCCTCTCCAGCATGGAGAGCCGGTGAGCCTAACACTTGGATGGTGCATTGTCCTATTTTGTGCTGTGAAAACGCTAGAAACTTCCAGCTGTGTGGGCTATCTCACTGCATGGTCGTGCTTCGTCTGTAGAAGCCGAGCCTGTGTCCTATCCAAGAATGAGCCAAGGTCGGGAGATGGCTGGGCAGACGCTCCCACGGCCGAAGTGTTGCACACTTTTTAAAAATATGTTCATATTGGTTTATTTTGCTTATTGTCAGTCCCGGGTCAATAGAATATCTGCGAGGATGGGCGTTGTTGATCTCGTGATGTGAGCTAAACCAGCGGCTGGCCTGTAATCGCCATTTTGTAAATATTTGCTGAACACACACACAGTTATGAGAACTCGAGTTTGTTGGTAGCTGGGATTTGATTCGAAAAGGCACACAGCCCTCTATAGGAAAGGAGAGGGGACACCCCTCAGCCTCCTGTGGAGAGGGGAATGTTTGTGTAAAATGACTACAGCCCCACAAATAAGCAGTGACGGTTCTTAGCTGCTTCTTGTGGCCGCTCTCCCAAGTTCAGTCCAAGTGCAGCGTTGCCCTGCCGTGATTAGTGAAATTGAAGTTTTGATGCTCCCGATCTCCGTCATTTCCCAGAACAACCTCTTGAAAAGGAACGATGATGGAAATGTGCAGTTAGCGTTGATTGGGGTTTCAGATGAGGGCGCGGAGATAAAATGGCCCTTCAGGGCAATCGTTGGCCAGGGCCCTATTTTTCACAAGTAATGTGAAGCCCCGAAAAAGGACTGGCAAAGAGGATGGTGTGTCCTTTGTGGAGCATAATAGATGTTAATTCACCCTTGGTTTGTTCGGCCTGCTTGAAATGAAATGTATTGTGTTTGGGGGCTCTCTTCTTAGCTGCAAAAACACTTTGTCACTTAAAGCATGTGGTTTGATCCGTGATTGTTCCTCAAGTTCTTGAACGTTAATATAGTTTCTCATGCCGTGAGTGCTTTCCCCTGCCCCCGCCCCCAGAGGAGGAAAAGCCTTGTAGAATTCGACAGGTCACGAGTGTTCCCTACAAAAGCTGATGCCACCCGTTCCTCTTTAACAAGTTGGCTTTTTTAAAAGCACCACTGTTCCAGGCTCATGGAGTTCTGTGGAGAGGTACTCGAGGCGTACTTTAAGTTCTTTCAAATGACTAAACATCTTCACAAACTTTTAAAGAAAAATACATGGGTTCTTTTCTGCTGTGTCATTCGGGAAGGACAATTGCTAGCTCTTCCACAAAGATCAAAGGATGACAGCGGATCACTGTGTTAGAAAATGACCCTTAAAAGGACAAGAGTCTTGAAAGCTCTGAGGTTCGGTGGTTCTTGCTAGGACGTTTTCGATTTCCACAAGTCACCCGTCCAAGTTCTGCATTCTGACTTCCCTTTAAGGAGGGAGCCAAGGCTGCCCCTGTCTGTAGAGAATGTGGAAACAATGTTTTCGTTCTGCACGGCTTGCATCCACCCCAATAAAACTTCTCTCACTAATGAAAAATGCGTCTTGCCCTATTTCTTGCCTTCCCTTTGGGGCAGATGTCACAGAGGACGACACCTGAAATGTCATGAGGCTCAAGGCTCCTTCCTCTCCGCCGAATACATAAAATTCAGTAGGTGTCGTGGTACTTGCTCCCACCCAGCTGGCAGGAACCAAGGGAAGAAAGCCTTTGATGAAGGGCCCGCAGCTTCTGTAATTTCCAAAGCCAAAATCACATGCTTTCTGATTAGGGATTGTCCACGCGGGCTTGGCGGGAAAGAAACGGGGACAGTATGCCACTAAACACAGGTTGGCCTGCCTGCCTCTCTCAAGAGGGGGACCGACTCCCTTATGTGTGGTCATTTAACACAGTTTTACTGCCGTAGGTGGTAAATCCGGGGCCATCCAGAGTGGCCGTACCGCGCCGGGCTTAAAGTCACCCGCCGACACCGGCTGCGGCCCTCCTCGCCCCCTCCTGCTTCCCAGCTGTTTCCTAGGGCGGCACCCCAAGGAACCTTGGAAGTGGCACTCGGTTTCCTTCATTCCAGAACAAATCACCGCAACCTAAACACCTTAAAGCAACTCCCCTGTGTCAACTCACAGTTTTCTGGGCCAGGGGTCCGGACGTGGCTGAGCCGGATGCCCCGCTCAGGGTCTGACAAGGCTGCAGCCGAAGTGCAGACAGGCTACTTGTTCCCCTGGAGGCTCAGCTGGGGGAGGAGCCACTTCCAGACCTCCTCAGGTTGCGGGCAGAACTCCCATTTCCTTCTGTCCTGACTGCTTCTCACTGGCTGGAGGCTGCCCACCTCTGCCGTGTGCGTTTCTCCAACATGACTGCTCTTGCCATCAAGCCCCTAGGGGTTGTGTCTCACCTCAGGGAGGGCTCAGCCCTTCTTTTAAGAGTTTATACCTGCCTCAGTCATGCCCCTCAGGATTCTCTCCCTTTGGATAAACGCAAAATGAGCTGCTCAGGGAGCTTGACTGTGTCTGCGGAACCACTTCAGCTTTGCCATATTGTGCCACCCAGAGGCAAGGCCCAGGTCTCCCGCCTGCACTTGGCGCATGAACGTCAGGGGAATCTTGGGGCCACCCAAGGGAGTTATCCTCATTCCCAGCCTCCCTGCCTCTGAGCTTTATAGCATAACGTCCTCAACATCCTTCTGAGGCCTCGCTCCATTCCCAGTCCTATCTTACTGGCTCTGGTCCCTTCTTTCCTGAACTCCTCTTCCAGTCTTACCATATCTTAGCATCCTCTGCATCCCTGTCAGGACTTCTGATACTGCCAACCCTCCCTACCTCACCTCCACCATCTTAAAGCCCTCAGGATTCTTCACGGGTTTTGGCATAAAGAACAGACTCGTGGTTTCTGCTACAAAAGGCCCCGCCTCCTGCCCGCTGCTTCAGGTTCGTCCCGTACCCGAGTCTCCCGCCTCAGAAGCAGCCCTGCACACTGCTCCTCGATGGCCTCTCCCCTCTCTCAGGCACCTTTCCCTATCCCCACCCCCCTCGTCTTCTAGTCAAAAATCAGCTCTGTGTTGACGGTAATGTAAAACCGTGCAGCCACTATGGAAAAAGGTAGGTCGGGGCCTCAAAAAATCGAGCATAGGATCACCACCTGACCCAGCAGTTCCACTACTGGGTCCGTATCCATCCACTTAGGCTGCCCTAATGAAATACCAGAAGCTGGTGGCTTACGCGGTTGGATTATTTTTCTTGAGAAGGGAGGCTCTTTCTGGGGACTAGAAGTCTACGCTAGAGGTTCCAGCCAATGCAGTGTCTGGGCGGAACTCTCTGGCTTGCAGACAGCTGCCTTCTTACTCTGTCCACACATGCTTCTCCCTGGTGCATGTGATGATTGGGGGAAGGGTGGGGGTTTCTCTCTCCCCCCCCCTTTTTTTTTTAATTTTATTTCAGAGTGAGAGTGAGTGAGTAGTGGAAGAGAGAGAATCCTGAGCAGACTCCACACTGAGCACAGAGCTGGATGTGAGGCTCGATCCCAGGACTCAGATCACGACATGAGCCAAAAGCAAGAGTTGGACACTCAACTGACTGTGCCACCCAAGTGCCCCTCTCTTCCTCTTCTTATAAGGCTACTAGGCCTCTGGTATTAGGACCCCACCCTTACGACCTCATTTAATTATCTCCTCAAGGGACACCTGGGTTCATTAAGCATCTGCCTTTGGCTCAGGTCCTAATCCCAGGGTCCTGGGACCCAGCCCTGCATGGGGCTCCCTGCTTGGTGGGAAGCCCGCTTACCCCTCTCCCACTCCCCTTGCTTGTGTTCCCTCTCTCGCTGTCTCTGTCAAATAAATAAATAAAAATAAAAATAAATTATCTTAAGACCTCATCTCCAAATACCATCTCCTTGGGGATTAGGGCTTCAACCTGTGAATGGGTGGGGGGAGAGGCAGAGGAGAACTATTCAATCCGTGCCCTAAAAGTACAGCACATTCAGATAGGTGACTGATGTCAGCCTTCTGTGACCATCTCAAGGGACCTCAAGGAGAAACCCAAAACAAGAACCAGAAAACCAGTCAAGGAGAGGCAGGCAATATTTCAGAAAAGTCAGATACGATGGAAACAATGGATTAAGACAACCAATGGTCTCTCCATGTCTATGTGGAAATCAGTAAGCCTTCATTTCTACAACCAAATTATACCTCATGACGTGCAGTTTACCTTGAGAGAACTATTTGCAAGCACGTGTATCCCTCCTTTCCCTCTTTGCATATGATCCCCCATAAGCTAACAAGCTTCGGAGCGGTCCTTCAGAACTAGCTGGAGTACTGTCTCAGGAGCTATCATCGTCCTTAGAAGACAAGGAATAAAGATTTTACTTACCTACTTAGAGGTTGACTTTTTTTTTTTTTCAGTCGACAAGTCCAAAGCAGGGCACGTACCTCAGAGAAGGGAAAGTATGATCTTGAAGAGGTATTTGTACATCCCTGTTGATAGCACCACTAGTCGCGATAGCCACAAGGTAGAAGGAACCCAAATGTCTGTCAGTGGATGAACTGTACCCAGACCCTCCTGAGAGAAGACAGTTCTGACCCAGGCTGCAACATGGATGAACCTTGAAGACATCATGCTCAGTGAGGTAAGCCAATTCACAGAAATAAAGTAGACTGGGGCTTACCAGGGCCTGGAGAGAGGGGAGAGGAGAGTGTTGTTGTTTAAAGGGTCCAGAGTCCAGTTCTGCAAAATGAAGAGAGCTCTGGAGGTAGGTCACACGGCAGCATGAATGTCCTTATCACTACAGAACTGTATGCTTAAGCCTGGTTAAGGCGGGGAGCGTTAGGTTACATACACTTCACCTCAAGAGGAAAATGCTCGAGATCAGCTGCAGGCAGCTCTGTGCAACATCCCCTACCCTTTCCCAAGGCTCAGAGGACACCCACTCCCCTGGCTCCCTGCGCCCCTACACCCCCACACGGCCAGAGCCTTCCTGTCCCTGACTCCTGGCACCAGGCCCACAGCCTACTAGTTCTTTCTACCCTCGTAGCCCCGTGATGTCTCCTGAGAACGGCCCGTGTGGACAGGAGCATCAGGTAAGAAGGGATGCTCCCTGGCCCCTCATCCCAGTTGTCAGCAGGCTCCACCACCCCTACCTCCAGTTTGCCTAACTCATGTGGCTGAAGACAACCATCCTCTGTTTCCTCCCACTTCTGTGACAGAGCTCAACTGGGGCCTTTCTGAAACACTTTTAGGAGTTTCCTGGTAAGTGGTTTCTCCATCTGTGCCCATGCCAATTTACATCCAAGTGGTCTCGGTTCATTTTTCAACAACTCTAATACACCCCACCTTCTGCGAATCCTTGGCATTCTGTGGGTTTGAAACGCTGATGGCATTGTAGTCAAGAGGAGAACCATGACACATTTTCTAGTCACAGTTTGGGAGAGGCTTAGTCTGGGGGGCTTCCCCTCTCCCCACTACACTGCCAATCCTAATCCCCCCCAAAACCCCTGCTGCTGACCAGCATCACCTCCCACCCCCACCACCACCCAGCGGGAGGACAGGGGTAAGGGGGAGAGGTTGGGCTGGAGCCTGCTGACTTGGGCCAGCACCTCTGTGCCCTTTCTGACGAAACTGAGTTACAGTGACTAAACAGCAGAATGGAGAATTTGTTGATTCAGATCCCTCTCTTCTTCCCCCTTTGAATAACATCAGTGTTCTGGGTTCCCCTTCTTGAGAGTGAGATGAAGAAAAAGAGCAGGAGCAGGTAAAAGCTCCTTTGTGGTACACTGGAGACTGCAGACCCCTGGCGGAAAGGAGAAGCAGGTCAAATCCAGTGAACGAACAAAAATCGAAATACACTTTCCCAGACCCCGGGTTTGGTTGTTGTGGTGTGGCTTTTCAGACACAAGGAAAAGAAATCCCGAGAAACTGAAATCCTATCAGAAATCACTTCCACATCCCAGAACTGTGATTCCTAGGACCCTTAGGAGTCCAGCGGAAGCTGGGCTTTCATGGAAACATCAGAAATGTAAAAGGGAAAGTTCTGATGGTAATTTCAGAGGTAAAGATTTCAACATTCATCTCTTTTGCTCGTTTTGAATATCAAAACTGCTTTAAAGGGAGCACGGTTGAGCACAGAGGCCCTTGGGGCTGTTCACCATCTCTTAAAGTATTTTATAAGTAATATTGCCCTAGAAATAAGGGAAGTTCATTTAAGAAAAAAGAACTTAGGGGCGCCTGGGTGGCTCAGTGGGTTAAGCCGCTGCCTTCGGCTCAGGTCATGATCTCAGGGTCCTGGGATCGAGTCCCGCGTCGGGCTCTCTGCTCCGCGGGGAGCCTGCTTCCCTCTCTCTCTCTCTGCCTGCCTCTCCGTCTACTTGTGATCTCTCTCTGTCAAATAAATAAATAAAAATCTTTAAAAAAAAAAAAAAAAAGAAAAGAAAAAAGAACTTACCCCTAACTATGGCTGCTGCAAAAGGGAGCAGAAAAAAAGAGTAGTATTACAGTAAGGATGGCCTGGACAGGCTGTCCAATAGAATAAGATGAGAGCTGA